CTGATCAGGTTCGGAAATGAGCTGTGTTGTCGTGGAAGTTTCTAGGAATGGAATTCTATGTTTTGGACACGAGGGCATTCTACGCCGGCGTGCAGAGGACATGTTGCTACGTGTAAGGCAGCCGTTAAAGGTAGCGAACGATTCGAAGTTGCTAGGTTCACGATTTCAGAAGCGCTTTCTTCAGGGGGTATATACAGTACACTGTTGGATGAGAGGAGAGCCGCTACGGTTTGGCAACCCCGCCGGGTTTAGAGCGAGACTGGTGGGTTTCTCCTGATGGCTGTAGCTTTGGTTGCTGGAAGTCCAGCTTGTAAATTCTAATCTTTTTGTGATTATTGATTGTTGGTTGATAATGAGTATACTGTACTGTTAACGATAATAACTACTGTTTTCCGATTTTGGCTAAATACAAGAGTAGCTGCTGTGTCTTCACAGTGATGGCAAATTTATCCTTGCATTTTTATAATTCTGAAAAATGAAATCACTTATGCTAAAGCAAGTTAATACAGTAAAATCTTGTAACAACATTTGTTATGAAGTAAATCATTCAACATTGTGGCTGTTGAGCAGGGACCTGAAACTAGATTTGTTGTAAGCAATTATTTGTTACAATGACAGTATTTTATAATTTCAGTCTGAGAACCTGCTGAAAACTGGAATGCATGCAATGATCACATACTGATGAAAAATGCACGCACTAAGTGTTGTTCTGAAATCTGGAGAAACATAATGTTCCTTCAGATCTCTCCTTGTTCAATATTGTGTGCTTATTTTTAATTTGCCTAAATATAATGATGCTGTAGAGGTGCTGTGCATTGTTAGTATGGTTACTAAGGTGCTCCCTATCCTGGTGTTCGGCAGCCGGGGAACAAATAATACACATTTATCATGCAGTATTGATGTCTTGGGCTGCTGTCTTCTGAATGGGCGAATGGCTCAAATGAAGAAGAGTCAGGTGTAAGAATCAGGTTAGAATCTTGAAGAGCCAATTCTGAGGGTCTTCTCAACTTTAACTAAAACCACTTCTGTACTTGGTGATAATTTACAGTTCAGACTCAGGAGGTGTGACGAGTTTGTGAGTACACTAGTTTTATAACTATTCTAGAAAATTCTTAGGACAGCGGTCGACGATCTATAATACAGTGTATGGTATATAAATGGCCTGAATGATGCCAGGTACATAGGACTATCTAACATTGTTTGAATATAGAATACAGTACAGTATTTTAATTGATGTCTAGGTGGACTCTCCCCTACAAAAAAATTACAGGGACCTGATAAATCAATTGTGGAGAAACAAGGATAGAGAACCCTGTGCAGTATGTCGTAAGACTACCAACAAATTTGTTACACAGATATAATATTTGTAGATAATATCATTGTAGGGGTAGAGTCCACCTGCATTCTTTGAGTTAGCCTTTTTGTGCCCACAAACTCTGATGGAAAATAATTTATTATGGTGATGGGTGAGAATTTTGCGAACTCCCATTCAAGAGTTTGAAGCATTTGTACGGGTAATATCAGTGTGGAGGAACTCTTAAAACTGCTGAAACCACTAATAAATTTTACCTGGGTACACTTTTTAGATACGGCACTGTAGTACAGTATATAAAAGTGGCTGAAAATTAACCTGTGTTTAAGCTGGTGTGTAGGCCAGCAGCTGTGAGGCTTTTTCGATGGACCCATTTCTTTGAAGCTAACATTCACAGGATACTCACAAATATGCCTTGGAGTTTAGACTGATACAGTAGTGTACAAGTCCATGGAGGGAGAGAATCACTTTTTATCCGCGGAAAACGAATTTCCTACTGGCTGCCGCCTGAGTTCTCCGGGGTTATCCACCCAGGATATCCCGGTCCCGAATTCGTGTGCCGGTCAGATAATCCTGCGGCGTGGTAGTGGAAGCGGTGCGGTGCTTCTCTATCTACTGTGTTCTTGCTGCTCGCGGGCTTCGAATTCGAACCAGCCTCTCTCCGAATCCTGTGAAAAACCTTTGAACTGACTATCCAGTGAAATTCTCCTTTATTTTACAGTGTTGAAACACTTTCTTGATCAGCATCGGCATGTCGTTCCTATGCGAGAGGCTGCTCATCCACATCTGCCCCGCGTTCTCTTTTTAACACAGATTTCACAGAAGGTTCGTGACGGTCAAATAACTCTTGTTTAATGTTTTCTCGTGTTCTTCACGTTATGATTGATTCGTGTAACGATGGATTTTAACTCGTATTTGCCTTTATTTTGAACGATTCTCTGCTCGCGAGCTTCGCCGGAGATTTTTATGGAGAAGTCACGTTCGCGAATGTAAACGTTTCCTATGGTCATCATTCCAGATTAAGTGACTGTGATTAACTATTTTATGTGGTATTTACGAGTAAGATACTGTACGTACTTTCCCTTGCAAAAATTGACTCCTGATAAAACAGTGTCTGTCTTGTATTAGACGGCGTCTGAGCGTCAGTGGTGCATGATTGCTTCCGGCCAACGAACATCTTTTGGAAAGTAAATAACTGAAATTCGATGTAAAACGATTGACTTCCATGTTTCTTCTGTTCGAGAACGCTCAAGTCAAAATCCTGATTTTCGTTTGAAGTGTTCAAGAATAAGAAGTGAATAATTAAATTGACAGTAGAAATATAATACCATGGAAAATTTTTTCGCGGTATTCGCCCTAGAGTTTGTGGCGCAGAAAAAGGTTAGTGCGTCTTATGTCCGAATAAATGCGGTGGGTAGACAGTTCATGAAGATTATGCGCGACGTGACTGTATGATTGAATATTTCGTTCATTATTTGTATGGTGTTTTTTTTTTTTATGTAGACGAGGGTTCTTTTCCTCTTTGGGTGGAACTGGTGAGATCCTTGCAAGTAGCATGCAATATGGATGACAGTGCGCAAAATAAGAATAAATATGCTACTGCCGATTTCGCACGGTCGATCTACAAAGTTGTACTTACCGGAGGTGAGCCAATTTTTATCTTCTGGGATTCTCAATTCATGTCGTGCTGAAATTCTCAAATTTTCCGTGATTTCAATCAGGGCCATGTGGTGGCAAAACAACGGGTCAGTCGCGACTGTCTTCATTCTTCGAGAATCTCGGTTGGAAGGTTAGTGGATTCCGAGAACATCTATATGTATGTCAAGGTATTTGGCGGGATTCCAAATGGAATGTCGCCCATATTTTTTTCATTTCATGAATCATAAAAGCTTACGATCAATCTCTGAATTCATGTGTGGCTTCCTTCTGGCTTCATACTGTTACGGGGTCTTTCTCGATTCAGAAAATCAATTGACGCTATTGATCAGGAAATGGAAGTTGATGTTCGCCTGTGTCACGGCAATGAAGTATCATGCGTTCATTCGTCTTCCGTTTACGTTTTTTTGCTGGCAGTATTTTCTAATTACTATGCATTATTTTCATTGGTACCCGATGAAAAAGTTTTACATGAGTAGGTCGTCGGTTCCGCGCAGAAATTCGTGGAAGGTCGCGTGTCACGGGTTCCGAAGAAGGGCCGAATAATTTATCCTTCCGTGATCTGTCAAGTTCTAGCGATACAGTACTTTAATACTGAAAATTACAGATGATTTATGACTCAAAAAGTGCATTTATGCGAATCATGAATCTTTATTTTTACGGGGGTTCCTCCTTATTGAAACGTTCTTGGTCTGATTACATTCACCTGTCCAAATGTCAACCTGGATTCAAGGTTCGAAGGTCACCGCGGGTTTTTTAAGATTATTTTTGATTCGGGTTTTTGTTTGGTAAGTCAAATGCGAGGTTAAAGCCAGTTACGTGGCTTATTTTATAAGATGGAGTCATTCAAGTGGACACTATTTCAAGTGAGGTCATGTTTGAAGACTGAGGTTGGGTTTTTCAATTCTTGTTTAGTGTTACGTTAGCTAGGATATGTTTGGTGTTGCGTTAATTAGGATAGGTTTGGTTGATTGGGGTAGGTTTGATTTATTTGAAAATATGGGATTAGCTGGGCGTTAGTCAAGTAGCATATTACTCAAGGTTTTTTGAATAGTAGGCTATTGTTGAGCTACTTTAGATTAGACTGGTGATAATTTGCGATTCGATTATTTAAGATGCTTTGTGGCAGTGTTATGGCGATGAAAAATTTAGGAAAGAGGTCGGGGGACTTCGGTTATAGAACAAGATCCCTTCTTTTTAGCGTATAAACCGTTAAATGAATTTCATGTTATACCATTACTGTTAATAATAATTTGAAAGCATGCTGCGCCTCAGGTAAAATATTATTCGCGTTTATTTTTCTGATACTCTCTCAATTCTACGAATTTTGTAAGCGAATTCACCATCTTGTCGGGAAATTCATGCAGAAGTTGGAGTGAAATTGGTACTTGAGGGATCATTCCGGCGTTTAACCTTTCGAAAACCCGCGGCTGCTTTCGCAAGCGAATGGTAATTACGTCATTGGAATCTGTTGACCTCTTTCGTCTATGGGCCGTATTTTTAGCTCGTGTTTATCAGAGCTCGTCGACTTGGAGATGAGGATTTCTTCAATGCATAAGCGAAAAAAATAGAAAAATTTGTAACGTGTTCAACTCTCTAAATTGAAGTCATTGGGCCGAGTAGAGTATTTTGATGAAGTGCCAAGTTTTATTCAATGGCGGTGGATGTTTTCCTGTAGTTGAACGGATGAGTGTTCATCCTCCGAGGGCTGGTTTTTAAGATATTTAAAATATTGCAATTGTCCGATTGATAGCATTTTTTGCACCGACGGTTGATTATGTTTAATGAGGGTCGTTTTATTCCTAAAAACGTGCCCATTTAAATTTTCTGCCACTATTTCCCAATTTTTAAAAACTATTTGTGTATCACCGCAATAAGCCTAGATTGAGCTATTTCTATTGAAATCGGTTTATTAAATACTGTATGTTTGTTGTGCTGTAGACCATTTGAAGGAAGAAATTGTTCAATTAAAATCGGACCTTCTAAAGATAATAGTGTGCTTCTTGATCCACTTATGACTACCGGTACATGACTTTACGGTGTTCGTATGAATTACTTAGGTTTAAAAATGAATTTGGTTCCTATTTAAATTGCGAAGTGAATGAGATGCTGGATTTAAATTAAAATTAAAGTTTATATTTTAAAAGTTTCGAGTGTTCTACGCATTTCTTTCTAGTTCTGAACCTCTGAAAGTTGTCTTCAATATCTCGATGTTGTATGGAACATCACTTTGCGTAAATCCTAGTTTTTTTTTTTAAGTGAAACTTGATACGAAAGAGGAAGTACTGAAGATTATTTCTTGGCTAGATTTTTTCTATGTAATTTTTTTTCTGGACTAATTATATTACGATTATCCTTTTATCGGGCTTTGTGTATGTGTGTTCATATCCGTGTGACGAGGCAATGAGATTAAATGTTATCTCGTGTTCATCGCTAGATTTAACCCCGGGATGATTAAATCAAGACCCGATCGAGTTGCACCGCTTGCTTTTGCGAACATGACGTATTGTCACGGGCCTGACTTGTTGCTACGTGCGTCAACAACTTTGTACCAGTCTTGAAGGGAATAAATTATTCCAGAAATTGTAATCCGAGGGAATCTGGTTTCTGATACTGTATGATTTACTCTNTAGAATTAACCCCGGGATGATTAAATCAAGACCCGATCGAGTTGCAACGCTTGCTTTTGCGAACATGACGTATTGTCACGGGCCTGACTTGTTGCTACGTGCGTCAACAACTTTGTACCAGTCTTGAAGGGAATAAATTATTCCAGAAATTGTAATCCGAGGGAATCTGGTTTCTGATACTGTATGATTTACTCTTGGTTTTTTTTCCTGATCAGGTTTACAAGTACGAATACATGTACACGTACAGTCTTTGCCCGTTACGTGAAGGTACCTCGGGTTTCTCTGAAGTTCTGCTAGTCACTAAGAAACTGAATGGGTTTGTTCAATTTTCGTTGATTTCTTAGTTTTGGAAGAAAATCCCGTCCCTTCACATCCGGTGACGTTGGAATATTGTACCATCAAGAATGATTTTGGGGGTATCTAATGTTGAATTTATGGGAGAATCTGATATAAAATGAAAATTACTGTAATTCATTCTCCTTAGATTTTTTTTTGGGACTAAGTTTTGGCTGGAAATTTTTCTGTACTTCGAGTTAGCTCAGGGTCATCGTCCACAGTATTTACTTTTAAGCAATAAGATTTCACGAAAAACACATTTTCCTAAAGCTTTTCATCTTTCGGCGCCGGAAATCAGCAGAGTTAGAAAATAGCCGTCACAATAATATCCTCTCAAGAAACTTCGTCAAATCTACGTTCAGGTAGTTGTATATTGAGCAGGATTTTTTTTGGAGAAATAAAACAGTATGTTTCTGTTGAAAAAATGTCGCAAGTCTTGAATTAGTTAATGCACCCATCCGTCTTATGCTATCGGAAATCCAGGAGGTGCACGAAAAAGTCATTTTTTCAGGTTCTTTCGGGATTATTTCGATATGTTTCGTCAATTAAACAGCAATAAATTTAACTTGAGTAGTTATATTTCATCCGTCTGTGGTATACATTTTTTTATGGAATTCACTAATCACCCGAATAAGCCCTTCGTGTGGGAACATGAAAACCCTTGAGGTGCTGTACACGGAAAGGCTATCGTTTTCAATGCTTTAACGGGCTCAATTATGTACTGTACATGACTTTTAACACAATTCTAAGTAAAATTAAATTATGCAATTATCCGTATGCTGATTTTAATGACGATTTGTTAGGAACTCACTGGACTTCCGGAAAGCCCTTCGTGTCGGAACAGCATTCGGTTTTTAAATCGCGAAATCAAGGTCATTTCGACTGCGCTGTTGATTTCCGCATCATTCTGGGTACCTACAAGATTCAATGGAGGTTATCAAAGAGAAAAAACGAATTGTGGATGCAAATGCAGTAAAATATACCTCTGCAGTTTAATTTTGTATCGATTCTTGGACTGACATCAATTTTCGTAATGTACTTTATTTTTTTTGCTAACACGGGTTGATTAGGTAACTGTTTAGATATTGTAGTACTGTACTGTAATGTTACAGTATTTACTTAGGCATTAAAGTTTGTCCGTTATGGCTGTGGGAAAATTTGAAGTCGAGCGAGATGTAAGGAAGAAGTTAGACTACAGGAAGAAGTTAGTTACACTTTTAAGGTGAGATTTAGGTAGGAATAGTGTGTGTATTCTGTTGGATTAGGAATTATTTGTTACTTTTGTTTCGGGAGAAGTTTTACATGATCAAGAATTTTTCTGTTTCCTGATTACCCTTATACTAAACTGGATTTCTTCAGATAGTTGCATGTTAGCTCACTTTTGGGCTGATTTTTGTTTGTTGGTACATGTTTAAAGATTTTTTTTTTCAACTCCCTGAATGTGGGAGAAAATTTAATTTTCGCTCAAATTAAACTACAGAGAAAATCGAAGGAATAATTTTCAGGTGATCACTGAACAATTATTTTTACTTGCTTTAGTTGAAGTTTGAATGTACTGTATTTGCTGATCAGATTTTTAACACTTGTTCCAAATAATTTGATTTTTTAACCGAGAAAAGCCAATGGGCTGTTTTTTTTTCTGATGCTGATCTGAAATGTGCCATATTATCTTAATAAGTGTATGTATTTCTACGAAAATCCTTTCTAAATGAAAGAGACTGTCTTCACCACGCGGATTTGAATGATTGTTCAAATCACTCACCAAATACATTTTCTTATTAATTCAATTCAATGTGACGATATTGGGGACCCATCCGTTGTGTTTCCTATTTCCTGAAGCTCTAATAAAGTTTTTTAGTGTAATTTTTTTATAAATTTTAATGAAAGGATCATTAAGAGATTGTTATTAAAAAAAATGAAGAGGAAATTCGTTCCGATTTCCTGCTAGCAGCAAGAATGAAGATAAATTTTATGACTGGATGGGTTGGTATCCTCACGGAGGATGAAGTTATTACGAGACTGAAATGACGTGATGGGTCGTGCCTCTTGCCGAGATGACGGATTAACCCGTATCAGATTCTATCGCCTCGCGTGTCTCCTTCCGTTACATATCTCGGTACTAAGCGAAAATGACGGGGTTTGATAGGGAAACCTGATGGCGTGTCTCTCTCTCTCTCTCTTACAGGTTTTCCGTGTCCCGGAGGCAGCCAACACACTTCTCAGGTTCGCTACTTGAAGATCTACTTGTCGCTGTCTCGTGACTCGACTGACAAAAACCCGTTTTTTTACTTGCATTATTTATCGCTTTTTTATTTTTATATCTCGTATTGATCAGTGGCGGTGTCAAGTTCACGGATTTGAGCCGCGAGGGAGCGTTCAACTTCCAGGAGAATTTGTTGAAGACGATGCTGCAGATTGAGCAGACTTTCTTCACGTTGGCGGAGAATATTTCGAATAAGAACGTGCTCGTCATCTGCGACCGCGGTGCTATGGATCCCAGTGCTTGTAAGTTGTTTGCGTGTTGGTTTGCTTCTTACTGAGGAGGGTTTTTCTATGAAATTCTGCGAGTCGAAAAAAAAAATTGTCGAATTTTCAATACACGCGAATGCAATTCTGTCTTAACATTTAAGAAATTTATTTTCGATCCAAAAATGCATCCTAATATATGCGTATGAACGGATACGATGATCAATTATTTAAGGAAGCCCTATTGTAATTATCAATTGTTTGAAGAAGCCGTATTATAACCGTATACTAAGTATAGGAAAGATTAAATAAGATGGGTAAATTTTATTCATTAAATTAGAAAATTAAATTCGAATAAATTCTAAATCATTTAAATTTTATTAGATCCTCAACCTTTGCCAGTTCAGTGATTTTTTAATGAAGAAATTGCTGCAGCTGTCCTAGTATTTCTTAGCTAAATTCGCCGCCTTATTTTTTAGTGAAACTTTAATTTGTTCCTAAATCAAATAAAATGATGGAATATGATGAAATTAATTTAAATGCCCAAACATGCAGACGATAGAATTGTGAATAGCTTTGAACTTGAAACAAAAGCTTCCCTAAAATCTAGACAAATTCTGAAGTTATATAAGTACTGTATATGCTTTCCATAGGGCAATATTTCTAGAGAAATTGAACAATTTAATTTTTTAAATTTATTATATATACTCTTTTTTTTAATTGAGGCACTGCCAAGTACATGCGGTCACATCGAATCATATCATAAAGTTCTTTTAATTTTTTCTTTAACTGGTTAATTTTTTTTTCGCTGTTTACCGGATAAGGTTTTTCGATCACCTGTTTACAGTTTTGCATTTCATGCTTTTTGCCTTCTGCGCTTCTTTTTGTGTCAAGCGAGCAGTTTCTGCATGATTTTATTCTGCCCAGTCATTTTTTCTAAAGATTAGAGAAACATTAATAAAAATAAAATTTTTGTAGAGCCTTTTCCAATTTTCTGTCAAACATGAGAAGTCATAAACAATTTCCTTATCAAAGTCTAAGGGAAAATGAGATCCAACCTATGAAAATTTCGACTTATGAACACTTGCTGAAAAATAATGAACACACTCTGAAAAGTAATTATGTCTGCATCTCAGGGCCCCGCTTTAATGTCAATCTGAAAATTTTAAAAATACAGTAATTTAAAAGCAGTAGTGTATGTATGAAGCTTTGTTCCCGAGCGATTTTTGAGACTAACTAATCGAGGACCGTCATGAAGAACGCGTTTTTTTTTTAATCTTTCTGGTGCCTCGAAGAAATGAACTACCGTAATTATATTCTTCCCCTCGTTCCCCTGGTGGAATGGAATGGTTTCTTTTTTTAAATAAACCGAGCGTAAATTAAAACCGGATATTTACGTTCTATCGGATTTCCATGAGAATTCCCCACATGAACCTTGGAGAAACTCTTTCAAAGCTTGAATTATTAGAGTAACTCCAATATGATCAAGGTTTTCAGTCTAAGTTCTGCGAAACTTTTACAGATGTTCGGGTACCCATTGTCGGTGACTCAAACATTCAAAGGAAAGTTCGGTATTCTGTCTGGCTAATGCTGTGTAGTTCGATCCGAGCAGGCGTGTTCCTGTAGTGAAATGAGGTCACGCAATTTATGCGATGCAGAAATTATTGATGACCGCGAATGGAAATATTGGCATTGTACTACGCTTCATTTTTATTGTGTTGCGAAGTTCCGCGCAGTTTGTTGAAAAGTTTTGCCATTGCTGTATCTTGAAATAATTTAGCGGGGGTTCTAGTTTTGGGGAAGAAAAGCTTTCCGGGACTGTAATTGTACCACAACATTCGACATCCTTGAGCTATTTTTTTAGTCTTGTTTTTCTATAGTTTCACCACTTCTTATTTTATATCGTACATTTGAATTTCTGTGAAAGGTTGGTTGACTCGAATTTAAAAATTATATTTCTTCCTGTTATTTTTCTACTTCGTGTTTTACAGTATTTACATGTACTGTACAGATAATTCGAATACTTGAGTCTAATACGTTCAATGCTGTACTTCTCTACTTAGCTCATACACTGAAAACTAAGCTAGGTTATGCGTTGCAATAATATTCATGAACCCCTTCATTTGCGTATTCACTCAATCACAAGCAACAAATGCTTCATAGGCGTCAACCTGATTTTCGGCAGTGATTTAAAAGAAAACGTTCTTCAACTCTTAAGCATTGGAAATATTTAAGTGAAAAAGGCTTCCGTAGCTGTGAAACGTAATTTTCAAAAAATGATTTACAGTAATTACTTTTTTAAAGTAATTTATGAAAACACGAGGCAGACTGTATAACGCAAAACATGTTTTTATACTTGCGCAAATGCACTCTTCATAGGTCTCGGATCAGATTTTTTTCGAGTGATTTGAAGACAAAAATTTTTGATTTTTAATTATTGGAGTATGGAAAAAAACTTGAATACTGTAGCTTCGAAACCTAATTTTCCTCCAAAAAATTTCCGTAACTTCTATAAATATTGCATAAATATTCTATAAATACTGTGTTGCAGACTGTAGAGTGCAAAATATATACTGTATATATTTGATTGTCTTTGATGATACTTCATAGGTCTCAACCAGATTTACTGCAATGATTTGGAGGAACATTTTGTGGACCCCTTATTATTTGAATTTTGTGGGGGGAAAGAGGTTTATGTATCTGCAAAGCTTCATTTTCCGAGACAGAATTTCCCTCACTTTCTGTTAACTTTTTTTATAACTGTGACGCAGACTTGTAGAACGCAAAACTTATTTTTTGTCCCTTCGCGTATGAACCAATGTAAGAGAGAGAAATGCTTTTTATGATCGCATTATGCTGTACTGCTGTTTTCGCGACGTGAAGTCGTTCGAAGATGTTTTCGAAATGGGAATATATCGTGCGAATATCCATTCTTTCCTTCGAAGATATTGACGAGAACAGTTGGCAGGAAATTCTGTGTCGGAACGGACTGAACCCGGTTTCGTTGAGAGACAACCGCTACAATCAGATCATTCACATGGTTACCGCGGCGGATGGAGCGGAGGCGTTCTACACCACCGAAGAGCATCAATCACGCGATGAGACTACGGAGTTGGCCCGGCAGCTGGACAGGCTGGTATCCGAGGCCTGGGTCGGGCATCCCTACTTCGACGTGATTGATAATTCCACCGACTTTGAAACGAAAGTGAAACGCATGATAAACGTGAGTGTTGTACGTATAGGACGTGTCTTGCGTGATGTATTGTATTGTACATGTACTGTATTGTACAGCAGTGCTGCCCAACTCAGATGCGGCCAATGCTGTGCAGGTACCCGTATAACTCGAGCACAACGCGTCTTCGTCCAAGGGTTTTTTCGGACAATTTTTTTTCTCAATAAAATTCTTTTCGAGTAAGACGCACATCAAATTTTAGAGTTGGGCATGATTTAATCCGAAAGTCGACTAATTTTCAATTATTTTCATCACAGAAAATGTTTTTAGTTGTCACTAGTCAACAATGGCTTTCTGAGGAAATCCTGCAGGTTTTGGATCGATGGATTATGACTGATCAAATCAAATTTTAAAAAAATGTGTATTTCACGGATGAGAGCTGATCGTTTATTTTAAATGGAAACAAGTTTTCCATCGAGATTGGTCCGACATTTCCCATTATTGAATCAAATATATTGTACATGTAAATTTCTGAAATGTTTTTCCCTTTTTCCGTCTCAATTTTTAGAAAAAAAGTGCTCGAGGTAATTGGGTAAATACTAAAACTTTTTTGCGGCCTAGCGCCACACCTTACAAGTGAAGNGTGAAGAGTCCCCTCGATCTGGCCAAAATACGGGTTTTGAGGTTCCCAATTATTTTTTTTTTATATATTAAAAGTTTCGAAGTTCCTTCAGAGCTATGCACTGAGTCACGGTCAGAGCTCAGTCTCATTCGGAGCTCCATCCTGCTAAGTGGGAAGCCATGATAAATTGAACGAACTTGAAGGATTATATTCTGTCCATGTTCGGAGATATCACTGCACATATTTTATGAGGGCTAATGGACACAGCTGCTTGAGTGGGTGAAATCGCTCAAGGTCACGCGACGTTGGAAAATCCGACGTACAGTATACTGTATCCTGGTTCTCTGTATTGTACGGGTTCTCAACTGGTAATTCGCTGGTGCTTCATCGGGGAAAATTGAACCTGCAACCAAACCAGTTGACATTCGTGCGTGCATGTAATCAAGACGAAAATTAGTCAATCCTCGCACGATGGATTTTCGCACAACAGACTGCCTCTGGAGGTGGTTTTCCCTCCCATACAACAGACTAAATCCACAGAACAGACTTCCGTTGGTTTTAAAATTAATGGTAAAAAGTGAAAAGCTTAATATTTTAATAATTGAATTTGATAGCAGGCTTTTGACACAACAGACTTCTCTGTTGTGCGGGGGCTGACTGTATAAAATTCACCAACATTACAATAGGATCACTAGGTTTGTGATATACAGTACAGTGAAACCCCCAGATGCGGACATAATTGGTGCACCAAGAGTTTCCCCAAGTTGAACTGTACGTAAGTTGAGTCTTGTTTTCCCATAGACTTGAATTATATAATTTTTAATTGGTGTTTTATGGAAGAAATATTCTTCAGAATTCCATGGAAAAAATTGTGTTTGCCTCTTGAAATTGATTCAGTAAATATCAATTCAACCCAATGAGAGCATTTGGAGCATTGAATAGTATACAGTTCATTGAAATTTTGGCATCTGTCAAAATAGCATCAAAGTTACAAAAAGATAAGGAAGTCCCTCTGTGCTATAGGTTATTTTTTTAATTAGCTGAATGGATGGGAAGAGTACCCAAGAATTTTTCTTGCATAGATCTTCGAGTTGGAAATATCTGTTTCTTTCAATTAAGCCTAATAAAAGTCAATTTTCCTAAAATTTAATGGAAATTTTATCATGAAATGTCCTCATGTCAAGTCAGTGTCCATAGGTTGGTCCTTTTTTTGTGATTTTTTTTATTGAAAAATAAAGGTCCCTATGTTGAATTGTCCGCATGTAAGGGGTCTCACTGTAAATGTAATAATAGTCGCCTGAAGGTCTCTTCGGGAGAAATGCATTCCAGACAGAGCTCTGCGAGTAGAAAGAAAAGTTGAGAACATCAGCCTTATGGCAAGATGGGCTTTCTTCCAAACGTATTCCCGTGTCTATGTATGTATCTATGCATAGGTGGTGGAATGCATTCGGATGTAGGTTATGTTTTGTCTGATGGAGTCAGACAGAAGGCTGCTCTTGAGAAAAATGACGTTCCTTTGGAATACCGTTATTGGAAGCGTGCTTCATTTGCGAGGGTAAAATAAAGCGTGTAAGATAATGGGAGTGTTGTGATATCATTCGATTTATTTGTATTTTTTCATCAATCAATAAAGGCTTTCTCGATAATTATGCAAGTATTGGATCGATGAAATAGAATTATTTAAATCAAATTTAAAGAATTTATTTTCATGCTAAGAGCTAATCCGTCAATTTATTTTTAAATTTTCAACTTCAATGAAAAACAGGACATGAATGTTTTTTTCCTGCTCGTTCTAATTTCATTCAGGATTTAAACCTTCAGTTTTTGCTCTTTTTTCGTTTATAGATTTCAATTTCAATTAATTTATTACAGTAATTTTAATAATTCCATGATTTATCAAAACCTTCCTGTCCTTGATTTGTTAAAATCACGGACAGTAACATTCGCTAAAGTTAACTTTTTAGAAGTAAAAATGCACCTTTTCAGTTACCGTAATATTCAGGTTTTTAGATACAATATTTTATTGCAGGTTGAATCAATGTTTTTTCCCTAATCTAGCAACTTTTTCAAATGAAGAAACGGGAATTTTCAAGGGATGACGAAAGCAGCCATGAAATGACAGATTGAAATTCCATGCCAGCAAAAATAGGATTCATAATCAATTGAAATAAGATTTTGTTTTAGGATCATTCCATTTCAAATTTGCATTAATTGTAAAATGTGCTTCTGTTGCGTTGAGAGATTGAAAAAAATCGGTCCGAAATTTCCTGGTCCCACTCCGTTTAATTTTAATGATTTTTTCAGTGCGTTTGTGTGAGACTCGGGATAGACACGGGAGACCGTTTGAAGAAGGGTGCTGTGAAGCTGAAGTTCCTGGTGAAAGCCCCGTTGCCCCCGGACGTGATTTTCCCTCCGTTCCAAGATTTCGAGGTGGTGCATGATTACCTGACGTCTGGGTTTGCTGATCAGCAGATTCGGTTGCGGAAACGGGGACAAAATGGTGAGCTTTTCTTTCAGACGCAGCGCTTCCCTTTGGATTTATTTAATCGATGACTAATTTCAATATTTTATAAATTTATATAACAAAGATATCTGTGGAGAAGTAACATTTTGAATGTGTCCCTCTATTTTAGCGAAACTAGCGAAGAAGGGCTTCAATGTGATCGATAATATTGTCGTTTAATGTTGCACAGTAAATTTCCTGCATTTTCAGGAGAAAAACATTCGCCTGAGTCAGAAATGAGTTCATTCTATCCTGTTAGCTTAGCTGCAATGTTCTAAAATCCTAGGTAATCTCAATCCAAAATCAACAAATGTCAACATCATCGATTGAGCTTTGTCATCCCAGTCGAAGGGAAAATGCGACCGAGACGTTTTCTCGAAGCCTTTGTTCTGCTGATGTGTCGTGTAGTTTCAGTTCACAGACAGAAGAAAATGGTTGAAATCATTATTTTATGGAGATTAGTCTTAATGGTTTGTAATGTGTAGACAACCAGAAGAGGCCCGGAAGTAAGGTTAACGTTTGCGATCTCATTGTTAGATTCTCCCGTAAATTTGCAACATCGATATTTTGACAATTTTTAAAAAGTTCTTAATGATGTATCATCGAAGATTGAGAGACACTTCGGTTTTGTTGGAGTTAAAAAATGTGGATATTTTTTTTTAAGACCACAGTATCTTTAAAGTAGATGTTGAATGCTTGAACGTGTTAAATTTGCGCCACGCGAAATAAATCAAGCTGTTTGAATTTTTGGCCAAGTAAGCAATACTATTGAGATTTCTTTCGGTGGACAGTTCGAGTGGAATAATGTATTTCTGTTAGTTTTAATATTGAGGAAATTGCATTGAATTTATTTTTCCGAGTTCGTTTTAAAAGCCGTTCGCATCGTGTTTTCTTGATGAATAAACCGGGAACTATCACCTTTCGGTATCAGATTATTAGTAAGGCTATTGAATAATTCAGGTGAAGTGAAGCCTCATTTTTGAACGAATGACATGCGGTTATTCATGAGGTTAATGACTCTGTTGAATATGTTAACCGTGATGAATTTACGAAAAATGTGCTACAATTACTCCCTGATCATAATATTCGGCCTACATACAGTCGTTGAGAATATTTCAAGATTATTTTTGGATCGCGTTTCTTTGATAGGAAAAATCGTTTTCTTCATTGTCAAATTATTTGTCTGGTTATTTGGAAGGAAGAGCACTCATGAAGAAATGTATTTATTTGAAATTTCGAAAATATTACTGTACCTCGGGAAATGTCAAATTTGGTACTTTTTGTAGATTTCCAGATTTGGCTGAAGCACGTGAAGTGCATCAAAATTGATTATTAACATACCCAGCAGGTTTACGACGGATTTCGTGGAACAAGAAAGATTTAAAAGTGGTAATCCCACCCGAAATCCGACTACTGATCCTAAGTTACTGTAGAAGAGTACTGTACCTTGGAAGAATCCAGATTTTAAATGGAACTTCGCGTTACTGTGCGAAATATTCTACTGTACTGTGTTGCCGTCGATCCTCACTACTAGAAGTTTTCCTGGTTTGGGAGTGTAAAGGAAAATTACGCACTAATCCCAATTTTTTTTTTTTTCGGAAAATTTCGGAACTTCTTCACGATCATATTTGCGAGTCGTTTGAAGCTATTGACTCACCCTGAGTGACGTGACTTGATATTTTCCGAATGCTTTCGACTGCGGAAACTCTCGGATGTTTTCCTACTCGTCATATAATTTATAAAAACGGGGTTTCTAGGGTACTGGAGCTACACGCACACGTGTAGGAAACCGAGGGTCGAGGGGCAGATTGTGGAGATCAGGCAGAACATCTCGCATAGGGACTACGTGAACTTACTTGCGCAGAAATCACTGTATCACGTATCCGTCTTCAAGCGCCGCCGGTGCTTCGTGTACAAGAATCAGTATTTCCAGATGGACATCTACAAGGAACCCTGCCACCCAAGGTTTGTGGCCGATTTATTTGCGACTGCATATTTTATTTGTATATATGTACAGTATATATATTTTTTTCAACTCATGCATGAATGCTCAATGTACAATACGGCAATCGTCTGTGATTTTCCGCTCGCCCGTTGTGGTTTAAATCGTTTGAATACTTGATTGTGTGCGGGTTGCGTAACATGTTTTGTTGGCGTTGGGCCCCTCTTTTTTGTCGGATCCAGATGAAAAAATTACTGTCTTCTTTTTTTGCCGATATTTCAATTTGGCTAACTCGAATTGAAAATAAGTGAAGATGTTGATTTAAAGGGCACCCAATAACTGCGAGAAAATACTGTCGTGAATTAAGCCATTGAAAATGAAAATTTTTGAATTTGAAGAAAATTATAATCGGCAAGAGATTGCTAGAAAATTTTAAAAGATTTTCGAACACCACGCAATGGTAACCCTTGGAAAAGTGATGCGTTTTTTTTTTCAAGAAAAGATCCATACAAAACTTCTGAAAATGTTCATTGTGAGAAGAATAATATTCAGAAGATCAAAAAATTCAATTTTAAACTTAGTTGATGGATATTAGGCTTACTGTGGAAATCTCAGGCGTTGAATAACAAGTTTTCACTCATCACTGTTCGGTGTCCTGAAAAATAAAATTTCGCAATGCGGGACCCACTACAAATTTACTTCCTTTTGTTGTGATCGATGTATTAAAATATCAAAAAATTTCGGACTCCCAGAAAACAGCATGAAGAAAATTATGAAAATTGTTGAATGTTTTGCAGGATGTTAGGAATACAGTGAAATTTCGTTACAACGAAGTTAAAAATCCTTCTGTGTAAAAAGCTTTATAACGAGCCACAAGTGACTATACTGGAGGAACATCGAAAAATGAATTCGTTCTATAACTAATTCCTTATAACGAGATTCCACTGCATTCCGCAAATGTGCAGAACAGGTACAACTTCTTTAAATATCATAGGATTGCGTACTTGAGCAGCAACCTTGAACTTTGCCTCTAACCTTACGGAGTCGACATTATTCTTATTCATCCCATCGTTTCTGTCGCATTTATTTATTCATAGTTCCAGTGCTGTGCGATCTTTTTCAATCCTTCATGTTGGGTTTTGCAGGTGCAAAGGGCTGATATTCCTGGAGACTTATTCGACTCTTTCCGGCTCGGAACTGCTGTCCTCCTCGCTCCTGCCGGACTTCCTGTCGATTGTCAAGGAAGTTACCGGGGACCCATGCTTTTCGATGTACAACCTTTCTTTGAAGGACGACTGGCGCAAGACTGACCAGTTCTGCAATGGCCTGACAGGTTCCAGCGAGCTTAGTGAATAGCGAATATAGAAAAAAATGCGTAGTAGCGTATTTTAGCGCAGGGATTATCTGTAGTTTTCGAGCTACTGCGTTGGGTTCTCCTGCTTTAAGAAGTAAGAAAAGAATAAAAAAAAAGTTTTGTCGATCGCAAAGTAATATTAGGAGTTTCTCGGAATATTCTGGAAACCCCTGAAGTAGAATCTCATTATGATGACTTCGTTTTTACGGTCAAACCCGAATGTCGTTCAAATTACTTTACGTAATAACGAATTTATCCTTATAATGAAGCTTATTCCAGGTCTCAGCAGCTTCGTAGTGACGACATTTTACTAATATCCCGGCTTTCGAAAACCATGATTATTTTGAGAATATAAATTACTGTCTTCGGTTAAAAGCGAGAATTATTTGAGTTCAACTGAATGTCCCCCTTTTTGTGTGTCCCAACTGCGATTAGAATGGAATCTGGTTTTCATATTTTCACTGTTTATGCCAGAATTTTTTGGAAAATTGTTCGTCATTGGTGAACTGAAAGCTCTCGTGATTTCTTGTATTCAGCACAGTTCCAGCGGTTAGGGGAAATTCCTGATAGTGAGAAGCTGAGTTAGAATGTCGGCTGGAGCAACCAGTTAGCGACATTGTTGATATTTCCCCTTGAATTATGAAAGTAATTTGTTTACTGTAATACGAGGGGTTCTAATTTTCGCGCGCGTCTTCAAAAATAAAACGAATCGACACGTTGAAGATTTCATTGCTAAATAAATGTATCTTCTTCGGTACTCAACAAATCCAAAAACCGCATTCCATATCTTTTTATTTTTCTAGTTACAATAATTGAAGCTTCTCTTATATTCTGATTTTCTCACTTTTCTTTTTCGAATTGATTCGTCATTCGAAGTTATCACTGAAGAGGGTTTGAATACTTTTTTGGACAAGATTTTTTTTTTATAACTTGGCTCGATAATGCAGAAAAATCATCATTCCGGCTTTGAAATCTCTTATAAATAGAAGGGATTTCTGATGCCCTAGGTGTCGATTCTTTCTTGCTTTTATGCCAGCATTGCTTATTGTAAAAACGAGGGTGGACAGGAATGATCTCCAGACATTTCTTTTGTTGAAAATATGTATCTACAAAAAGTGATGAATTGTTCAGTGCGCGGGAATCAGACTCCCCTCGTTGCTTTCATCTTTTCGTGATTGGTTTTCTTCTTGGATTATCACTCCCCAAGAAAAAAAAAAGTGGCCAAGTGCTCAAATTTGCTGGTTGCTCCTCTGACGCGGAAGTGTCGCAATTCTCCATCAACGTTTGATGTTGATTGCAGCTCCGAACGGACCCTGCAGTGCGGAAGCGTGTTGTGCTGCGGCAGCCCTTCGTAGACGCAGCACGGAGGAGCGCTTCGGGCCTGAAGCTGCTAGCTGAACCGAGTTCCGATCCCCGTCATTTCCGCCCCCCCCCCCCTTTCCTCCCCACTCGAGTTTTATCCCGTAGTATTTTGACAAAGAATCCCTTCCATCACTGAAGTTTGAAAAATAAAAAATGGGGGTGGGAGCACGGGTACCTGGAAATTCATTATTTGAGGACCAGCCTTTTTGTTGTATTTAATTCTCCTCTTTTTCTTTCTTGTGTGTCGTTGGATGCTTTGATCGAAGTATTGGAGGGCAAAGGTAGTGCTTCGTTTTTTTTTTTTTTCTTTCGGGGTTATGGGTTCTCATCTCGTGAAGATCTTACACCGTATTTACGCGAATATAAGACGCCGTTTCTCTCTTCTTTCACCGAGTGTGTTTCGTTATGGTCTGAATGAAATGTAAGATTTCCATGCGAAGTAATCTATTCGCGTGGTCCAGAAGTTTACAATTTTAAGCCCGTAGATGAGGTTTGAAGCATGATCTGAACTAAATGCGAAAAATTGACAATCTAAAGATGCGTATGTAGGAAAGCGTTACGCTCCATGAAATCTTGCCACTTTTCAAAACAAATATATCTATGAAAATTTCGATGATATCGATAATTGCAATAATGATGAAGCATTCGTCTGCAGGATGTTACTATCCTCGCGGAGATTTTTATTTGAAAAGTAGAGACAGATAGTGAATTGAGTTTCCGATTTCCCAGGAGCCTTTTTTATTGCGACTACGGTATAAATTGAGGCATATTTTTTCAATGGAGAAGCGTCTTTTCTTCGCGAAAATACGGAAGTTTGTCTTGTGCCCAGAATTTCCCGTGTCTTGATCTGGTCGAAAAGCAGTGAACGAACACCCTGTCACCGTACGCTTTCTTTTTATTTTTTTTGCTTACTGGAGTGTGCAATACTTATGATTCTGTTGGTGTTCTTTGAGCTGTGTTGAAAAACTTCTAGTTGGAAATTCTTCGAAAAAGCCTCAGTATCTCGAAGGGGAGAGTATGTGCTTTTGAGAATGATCCCTGAGCGAAGCAATTAGAGGTTGCCATAAAAATTCGAATTAAATCCGAACACGGGTGGAATCTGAAGAAGAAGAAAAAGGCTTGTTTTTTCGAATGATAAACAAGGCTGTCGATGCGTGAAGGAGAGGAAGAGAGTGAGTTGGACTTGCTTAAAGAACCATACGGAAAGAATCTTGGGAGTTGTTGGAAGAAAAAATTTGATCGTGTTGAATCTCGGATGAGGATTTATTTTACCCTTTTTCCTCCGGAAACCTGTATCAGGAATTTCCCTGGGCCTCTGGAATCTTGTTTTGCAAATGTTGTTTGAGGAAGTGGAGAACGAGAAAGGCTGATGGGTGATCACCAAGCCGTGAATTACGATATTTTGTTTCTTTTTAATTATTCTAACGCTTTACTCAATCCCACCTTCATGTATGTTTTGTTTCTCGCGCAGGTTCTTTTTGTTGTGTGAAACCAGTGAAAGTGCGTCTGAAAATCCGAAGCATCATGGCTCTGGCACTTCGTTTGACGCAGAGACTTGCGACTACAAGGTGACTTGATTTGAATCACTCGGATGATTTCATTTTTGGTTGTACAGTGTATATTATTTTAAATTGGAATGTATTTTTCAGCAAGTGTACATTTTACTTCAGATTCTTTTTTTTTCTTAAATGCACTTTATCGCCTGTGTCAAATCATAAAATAATTTTTAAACGTCGGTCTTCAAAGGATACCCTATTTCAGATCAGGATTTTAAAATATGTTCCGTGAATGCTAATTTCTGGCTGCACAAAATTACCAAAATTTTTTTTCAAGAGTCCTTCATGGTCAATGTGCGAAGTTGAATACTTTACTAAGCAGTACACTGATCGTGAAGCGATCAGAAATTACAGTACAGTATATCACACTGTACTCATATTTTGTTCAAGGTTCGGAGAATCACAGTATATTGAATGCGGTTTATTGATTTCCAAATGGATAACTGCGAACTTCATGAGTTGGGAAGCCGTATCAAAACTCCAAAGCCAAAAGCTTCTGATGAAAAGGAATTTTTTCTTGTTAACCCGTACGTTACGTCTGATTTCTTGAAATTGCTGTAGAAAAATGGGGCGAGTTTTTTTTTGGTGCCCATAAAACCTGTTTCTAAATCTTCATACTGGTGCTTCTGTAATTATCACATCCGCATACAGTATTGTATTGCAAGCCATAAACATGACTGTTTTTGCTTCGTGCAGACTCGGTGTTGTGAGGATGATGTCAGGAGAATACGGTTCCGGTGCTGGTAAAGGTGGAGGCGGAGGAGGTTCTATTCGTGATGCCGGAGGTTCATTCGGCAAAATG